ACCCACCACCAAAAGTACCAATAGTCCTCTATTATAGCACACTGTGCCCCATCCCCCCTCTGCTCTTCCCATCCACTTGATACCTCAGTCCTACAGCCAGAATCCTAGGGCTTATTATAGGCTTGGTTCTATCTGACTGTTTTGTCTCTATATAGTGCACACATAAGTGACAAGATCTAGTATTTCCTTCTCCTTCTGACTTATTTCATTTAGCATAATCCCCTTCATTTCCATTTATGTTGTCACAATGGCAAAAGTTTATCTTTTTATAGGGGAATAATATTCCATTATGTATATATGCTGCAGTTTCTTTCTTTCTGTTTTTTTTTTTTTTTTAAAGATTTATTTATTTATACAAGAACCAGGGTACAGGCCAGATGTCTGGGAGGATGAGAGGATTCACCAGAGACAGAGCGGGAAACAGAACAGGCAGACTGACGAAATACACTGCTGAGGGGAGCAGTGGGCGAGACAGGAGGGGTCTGCTGCGCCATGTGGGATCCGGCCGGGATCGAACCCACTCTGCAGAGGCTGGGGACAGCTTCACAGAGCATCGCACAACCGGCTGCACCTTCAGGGAGGCTTTATGCTACAGTTTCTTAATCCACTTATGTGTTTTTGGGTACTTAGGTTGTTTCCAAAACTTTACTATTTTAAATGATGGTAGAATGAATATAGGAGTGCACATATTCCTTTGAAATAGTGTTTTTGCAGTCTTCAAATAGATACTTAGGCATGAAATTGTTAGATCATATGGTGGATCTATTTTTATTATCTTGATACTGTTTTTCATAGGGCCTATATCAGTCTAAATTCCCACCAACAGTATTTTAAGTTGTTTTTTGTATGTATATGGTCTAAGATATGGGTACAATCTCATGTTTTGGAATTTGGTAATACAGTTTTTCCATCACCACTTATTCAAGAGACTATGTACTCTCCATATTATATATATATATATATATACACACACACAAACATACATACACACACAAATACACATACATATATATATGACTATTATTCAATCATAAAAAAGAAGGAAATTCTTTCATTTGCAACAATACGGGTGAACATGGAGGGAACTAAGTGAAATAAGCTAGACAGAGAAACTTAACTGCATGGTTTTACTTTATGTGGAATTTAAAAAAAAAAGCAATTTGAACTCAGAGAGCAGAATGGTTACTGTCATGGATTAGGGCATTGTAGGAAGATGGAAGAGGCTAGTAAAAGAACAAAAATGTTTAGTTATTAGATGAATAACTTCCGAGGTGCTAATGTTTTAACAATGACTGCATTTGATAATACTGTATATATAATTTAAAATTACTGAAAGATTAGAACTTAAGTATTTTCACAAATAAGGAAAAAAGTCAAATATGTGAGGTATGAGCGTGCTAATAACTGATGGTGGGAACTCTTTCACAATGTATATTTACATCAAGTCATCATATTTTACCTTTTAAATGTATTTCCTTTTTTGTTAATTATACTTTAATAAATCTGAAATAAATTATCCTAATTTTATAGTTGAGGAAACTGAAGTGTGGAAAGATAATTATCCTAATGTCATATCTCTAATCATTGATAATATGGGCATCTATATTTCACTATTTTTTCAATTTTTAATTTTTTTAATTTTCTCTTTTTTTATTTTAACATTTATCATTATTTTTTACATTTTTTAGACAATATTTGCTTCCCCCCCACCCCCTCAGGTGTCATCCCCATAGAGTTTCCTTCCCCAAGGCACCCGTGCACCATCACCTCAGTCCCTTGTGCTCCTCCCTCCCTCCCTCTGATCCCTCTCCCTCCTCCTCCCCTGCAGGATGTCTCTGGTTTATAATTGTCTGTTTTTGCTTTGTTGTGTTTTGTACTGTTATTATTTTTTATACTGATGTCTTATTTGGTTCCCCTATATTCCTGTTATAAGTGAAATCATCCGATAATTTTCTTTTTCCTTCTGGCTTATTTCACTGAGCATAATTCCTTTTAGCTCCATCCACGTTGTTGTGAATGGCGTGAGTTTATCTTTTTTGATTGCTGAATAATATTCCATTGTGTATATATACCACGTCTTCTTGATCATCTATTTTTGGACATTTGGGTTGTTTCCATGTATTTCACTATTTAAACTCAAAGTTTTTCATATTGTCTTTTGTGAATGGATTATTTATTTTTAAAGATTTATTTATTTATGCATACAAGAACTGGGGAACAAGCCAGAGGTGTGTGTGTGGGAGGGGAGAGGATGCACCAGAGACAGAGTGGGGAACAGAACAGGCAGATGTACTGAAACACACTGCTGAGGGGAGCAGTGGGTGAGTCAGAAGAGGTCTGCTGTGCCATGTGGGTAGCTGGGGATCAAACTTGTGCTGCAGTGGCTATGGATAGCTTCACAGATTGTGGTTGTGTCTTAACCCCTTGCACCACCAGGGAGGCCCACGAATGGCATTATTTAGATTCATATAAGGTGAATGGACTTTGGCTTGCTTATAATCCCTGAGTCAAGACTAATATATTAGGTATACATTCACATAATGTATAATGTGCTATTTTCTTTCAGCATCTAGTTCAGCATCCTCTTACATAGATCCAAATTTGGAAGTTGAGAGTGGGGAGGAACATACATTTCTAAGGGATTAAATAGATCATGTTACTGTTTTGTAAATTGAGATCTTAGGGAATTTAATTGATTGATTTATATCTGGAAAAACATTTAGGGCAGCTATTAGGTATAGACTTTGCACAATTTTGTGGAGTCTGAGAGTGTTAGGCCTGAAAGGATTCTTTAAGACCACAAGAAGCAAGTCACTTCCCCAAAGGGGTAGTTATTTAGCAGCAAAGACTGGAAGAATCTGAATATCCTTATTCCCAGCTCACTTGTCTTTCCAATGGGCTGCATTGATAGATTAACTCATTTGCTCATTTCCTTAAAAACAATGTGCTATGTACGTTCCATATTTTAAGAGCTTTGATGGATGCTCTAAACAAATGAATGATGAATGATCTAAACAAATGTGACTTCTGCCATTGTAGACCTTACAGTCTTTTGGCTTTTCTACAGTAAGTGAGTATCTTTCACTTACAGAATTTAATTTTTGAAATATACTTGGATAATAAAAAGATTTAGTTGAAAATTACGATACCATTCTATGTCCATAAATTGTTGATTTTTTTTTGATTAATGGAAATTTATGGAGCAAATTAATTTTTTACCACTTTTTTTTTGGGGGGGATTGGCTAATTAGCCAAAAATCTTCATGAAATTTCTGAACTCTAATGATAAGGGCAGAGAATCATCTTAGAGAAATTGTTGCAGGGCAGGGATAAGGGCACCCAAGACCCCACAAACCTGCCTGCTCTACATAGGTTCTGTCATTCGCCGCATCAACACAAAACATATGAGACTTGAATGAAAAGGAATTTTAATACAATTAGTAAACAACATAGGAAAGACAAAGAATATAGTTCCTAAATCAAGCACCCAAAGTTGCCTGTCCCCTCATGGGTAAAAGTCCACCCAAACAGGATTAGCCCAGAGCAAGGCCCAAAAGTCTGCCACAAGTCTAAAACACCTTTCAGTGGGGACCCACATAAAAGGATCAGAAACAACCAGAAAAGTCTGGAAGGAAAAGAGCAAAATCAAAATCAAGATAAAAGCTGCCATTGTCACTTCCCATAGGTTTCTCACCCACATCTGCTTCAACCAGTCCACGACCAAAAGGCAAGTGCAGTTTTCTTCACGTGTCTCTCTGCATTTGCCTCCTCCAGGTCTCCTTCTGGCTCTCCATCTTGCTTCCTTCCTTCCTCACTCTCTTCTGCAGCTTCTTCTCTCCCTGCTCAGTTCCAGCCTCCTTTGAGTGGGGCAGGAAACCTGGAACTTCCCCCTTTCCTGGGGACCACCCTATTACAAAATGAGCATGGGGTCTTATATAGTAGTGATTTGTAAGTTTTCCTACAAAATGGGAAATATTTTGTGTGTGTGTGTGTGTGTGTGTGTGTGAAATCATCAATTTCCAACTGAAGATTTTTTTTAAATCTTATTAATGCCATGTGCAAAAGCCAACCAAATTGCTGTTTAATGTTCATTATCAATTATTTCGAAACTTCCTAGTTTTCCCATCTCAAACCAGACTGTTACTCTTGTTTGTCTATAGATAAACAGATATCTAATATAGATATGGATACCTAATTATCTCACTCAAAAATATTTAAGTTATAGCTGCTCTTCCTAAAGATGCTTGGGTTTCAAGGTAAAAATGAAGCTAAAATAACAAAAAACACCATCAAATACTAAACTATGGAATTTCAGATTTTTGTAATTTTGGTTAAAAGATGACTTTGGGTCCTCCTTGGTGGCGAAGGGGTTGTCTGTCACCACTGTGGTCTGAGTTCACCAGGCAAGGGAGCTAACCCACACATGGAACATCAGACCTCTCCTGTCTGGCCCGCTGCTCCCCTCAGCAGGGTATTTCAGTAGATAAGCCTGTTCTGCTCCTGACTCTGTCTCTGGTGAATCCTCTCTCCCCTGCGCCTCTGGCCTACACCCCAGTACTTGTACGCAAAAATCAATCAATCAATCAATCAATCAATCTTTGGGGAAAAAAGATGACTTTGAGGAAAAGGATTAGCATCAAATCACATCATCTATGGCTAATGTCAACCGACTTCCTATATCAAATATATTTCTAAGTGGTGGAAACTACATTTGCTTATTTCCTTATATTACATTTTATTTAAGTATATAAATGTTAAAGCTACTCTTCATATTTTTAATAATAATGCATTTTAGATATTATTTTACAGACAAAGAAAAGTGAAGATGTGAGAATTTGACTATTTGGTATATCATGCTTAATTAGGATTTTGACATTTAAAAAGTGGTGGATAATTATTGAATTTAATATCATTTTCTGAAACAAAATATTGACCAATGCATTTTCTGTTTCAGTTGTAAAGAATAAGTTTTAGCAAATTGATATTTATTGGATAGTAGATAAATGCTTTGCACATTAATTGGCCTTTGCTTAGCTAAAGGCAGTTGTTTTCTAATATAAACAGATGAGAACAAGATGTATCGTTTAATCCTTTTGGGTTCCTTCCTTCCTTCTGGGTCTTCTGTTATATTTCCAGGGACTTCTTTCTGTGTTCACTTCTGTCCAATTTAACTGATTGCGCAAGTCCTGACAACTGGGGAAATAAATGAAAATTATACAAATTGCTCAGAGCAAGGCAGAAATAATTAAAGATGTGCACTATGAATAAAATAGATTGAAATTTACGTTTAGCTCACACAACTGAAAGCTAAGAGTCGATTAATGTAATGTTTAATTAATACATGTGTGTGTTTAAGAGGGGTTATTTGTTTTATTACAAAATAAGAACATGAAGAAAAACTTCTCAGAGCAAACTGAAATAGTCATGAAGAAGTATTCTAGTGATGGGGGAGTTTGAGTACTTAAACTTCTAAATTTTGCTGAATATCATCTCATGTGAGAATATGCTGGAGAGAAATAAAAGCAGAAAATGAGCAACCAATAAGGAGAATAAGGGTGAGTCCACAGACAGTAGCAACTAATAGGTTTCATCAGAATTTGTAACTGACAGAAATGTTAATGCATTGAACTTACAGTGGATATTATGCAGGAAAGCTGAGAACCACCAGAGGATGAGTAAATCAAATTACCCCACATTTAAGTTGGCAAACAAACTCCTTAATATAACTCCCTGGTGGCACAAAGGGTTAAGACACAAACTATGAAGTTGTCCACAGCCTCTGCAGCACGAGTTCGATACCCTGGCTGGCCAGGGAGCAACCCACATGGCCAGCAGACTCCACATGGCCACCTGACTCGCCAGCAGCTCCCCTCAGCAGTGTACTTCAGTCAATCTGCCTGTTCTGTTCCCCACTCTGTCTCTGGTGAATCCTCCCACCACCCCCCAGCCCCCGCACCTCTGGCCTTTACCCCAGCTCTTGTATGCATAAATAAATAAATCTTTAAAAAAATATAGCTATCTGTTTTTTTACACATTTTATAAAATAGACATGCTTATTTACAGTCTATATTTTGATTACTCCAAAGCATTATTTTGCACACATGGCTCAACATTATCATTTTTATCTGTGCCCTGTTTGATTACACATACATACAGTTTTCTTCTTAATATTTACCAGTTTTTCTATTCCTCTTTTTGATTGTCATCTGTTCTCCTTTCACCTACTCCCAGGTTACCAAGTTAGAATGAAGACAGTGTGCAGCTATTACAGTTGCTAGAAGTGGGCTAGGCAGGTGGTGCCTGAACAGTGACCTACCAAGGACTATCATTAGTAGAAGAACGAGGGCAGACCTCTATCCTGCTAGAAGGGAAATAAATCCTGAATGGGAGTACTTGCAGTGAATCAAGCTTAGTATCTGAACTACAGCCACACATACCTGCACAGTCTCCTCCCTTGTCTTATAACTGGTCCAGCAGTTAAACAGCTGAATAGCACTGACTCCTTGTCTCATTTTCCCCCTAAGCTCCAACAGCAATAGTAGCAACAGCAGCTGTAGAAGCCACAGCCAGAGATTGGCAGGGCTGTTGCTTGCAGCCTCACAGATTGCCTCCTCCTCACCACACACACACACACACACACACACACACACACACACACACACAGCACAAATTTCAACGCGTCTTGATATAAATCAAGGACTCAGAGATGAGACAAGAGCATTAGTCATGGACAACAGGTATTTCATCTCTGACAAATACAGTTCCTTCTGATGTTTATTGGTATGGATAAAAAAAAAAATCATTAGCGATACCTAGCTTGAGCGGGAGACTGGAAGTAGCCCGGGTAGAAGAGGGTGGAGTGGGAGCAGAGAGGTGGGGAAGGGGGAGTTAAAGATGACTTTCAGGCTCCGGAAACCCATATCATTCATTCTCTGCTGTTTTTGAGTTGCAAATTGTCAGGGACTGGTGGCCTGCAGGCAGCCTGTGTTGTTGACTGCAAGTCGATTCCATCCTTCAGACACTAGTTAGAAAGGGCCGTGTGTTTTGGATGGGGGTGGCAGCAGGGAGGAGGAGATGCTGCGAGCAGAGTTCTTGAAGCTGCACTCCTCTAGGGAAGCCGAGCAGTGAGGGAGCTTTTTTACAGAGCGGAGAGCGTGTGAATTGGAAAGAATCCTGATCGCTGGCTAGTCCCAGCTCCTCTCCGGAAAAGCTCTTGCTTCAGAGATGCGTTCTGCTTTCGCCTGCATCACACTGCAGTAAGTTTAACTCCACACTGTTGGCAATTTGAGTGGCTTCTGGGTATGTGGTGCGGGGGAAGGAGAAGCTGAGAAGCAATGGCGAGGAAAGTTAGAAAAGCATAGCTCTGAATTCTCCAGAGATGTAAAATCGGTTTGTCTCTCTAACTCCTGTCCTAGTTACGCTACTACAGTCGGGTTACTCTCAGTTATTTGTAGAGAGATACAGCTGGTTGATTATGCAGGCAGTAAGTGCCCTTTCCATTGTGATTTTAGGCAACGAGACTGGTAAATGTGGTCTAGATTTAATTACAAGAGTGGTCTCCTGCAAATTACTAATGGATGACAGTTTATCGTTTGAAAAAGCAAATTCCTAGAGCCTGTCTTAGACTTTCAGATGCCCAGTTAATTTTTACAAGTTTCATTCTGCACTTATTTCTGAAGTGTAAAATAAAGAAGCAGTCAAAAGAACGAAAGTCTTTTTAAGTCTTTATTAAATTAAAATAAAGCATGAAGTAGGTCTCCAGATAGCTGCTAGGCAACAGCCTGGGGACACTGATGATATGATAAACATTCAAATACTCTTTAGTGGGTGGAGCGAGCAGGATTCCCCCAGCTCCTTACTACTGCAACAATCTCCACTTGCTGAAAGTCTCTTGTAATTTCAAAGTGGTGTTTTTTGCATCGATGACTATATTTTGAACCAAGCACTATTGTGTTCACTGGCAAAAAATTGAAAGCTTAAGAAACTTTTGTAAAGCAACTTAAACTGGCTGCTTATATTTAGATAACCAACTCTCTTTAATGGCGGTAAAAACAGGTCAGTCAGGACTAGTGCTTTGTAAAGTTAATGGCCTAATGAACTTGAATGCAGGCAGATTACTAAAGGTCTTTACTAGAGGAGAAACCAGAAATAATCAATTTAAAATTTCTGGGGTTCCTAGCCAGGTCCTGTTTTACACTGATCAGATTTTTATAATGAAGGAAAACAAAAAGTCCCCTACACTAAAAATATTAGACTTAGTAGCGGGGTCACTGAGAAAACAGGTTACCTAAAACACAGTCCAGGTTTTTAAGCTGCATACACCCATATCCTGCCATAAGTGCTACAGGATAAAATGGGCATCAAAAGTTATGAAATAACTGTTGTGAACTTCAAAGTATTTCTGAAATTCTCTAACACTAGGAAAGGAAAACTAAGGCTTGATCTTCCTATTATTTCAATTTAAAATTATTCCTTGTTCTCTAATCCATATAATTGTCATTATTATTTTTATTAAAAATAAAACATATCCTGAGTGTAATTTGAATTTCTTTGCCTACTCATCTCAGGATCTCCCAACTATAAAGATTTACTTAATATTTTTGTCATTATTGCACATTGTTTTAGGTAATCTATTCCACGTACACATAATTTCTCTATGCAAAACTCCATGCATAACTTCGTGAATTACTGAGTAAAACACAATCCAGGGGATATATTTGTTATCTTTGCATTCATGAGGTTGGTTAAAAAATTTAAACAGTAAAAAGAAAACATGTGTACAAAGACTGAAAGAATATGGTTAAAGTGAGTTTGAAAGCAGTTCTCTGATACTTAGAATAAACAACTGAACCTTGCATATTTAGCTTAAGAGAAGAAAAATCAAGCTGGTAGAAATTTGGATTGAATATGAATTTAAAGATTAAAAATTCAGGTAGAGGTGAAATTGAGTTGTGAGAATACCTTTGTGTGACACTTTTGGTTGTGTGGTAAACAAACCTTATGTTTGCAAAGATTTTCAAAAGCAATTTTGAAATAAAATAATTCTTTTAAGGTGTAAATCATTGGTAAGGTTGGCTGGGACAGTATCTGAACTGGGCAAGTACATATGACTCATGCTTTTCCTTGCACCCTACTGAAAGAAGAGCTGTAGCCAGACAAGCCAAACACAGCCACTGGTCCCTCAAACTAATTTTGCCAACTACAATGACTATGATTTTGATATATAAGCTTGAAATGACATACTAAGAATATCCTTTTTTGGGTGCTTCTCCTCTTGACTGGCCTCAGGAACAGAACTCTACTTACATATGTATAATGCTTTTTCATTATTCTCTTAAGAAGAGTGCCACTAGCCTAGGAGTATTGCCTAGAGGAAGCTCCAGGCAAAATTTTGAAGGAATATCTTCCATTTTCCCTTTTTCTAACTTTGACACTTTCTTACTCCTGCCAGATACCAACACAAGATGTAATCTCAAGAAAGTCCTATGCAATTGTTCACCCTTAGGCATTGGCAATGAAGCAGGTTCAACTCCTTGATATCGTCTGGTGTTATTTACATGTATGGTTTATTAGTCAAATAATGCATGAGTAGTTGCCAGTTATTATGAGTGTACTAATGGCCTGTAACCGGGCCAACTGCTTAGAATATGTCTTCTCATTTATGGCAAAACAGCCAAAGAAAGAAGGTAACATTCTGTCTTATTTATAAGAAACTCAGTACTTAAAGGAATACACAGTCTAAAGGAATATCTTTAGATAGTGGCGGGCAAGGATTAATCCCTAGGTGTGACTGGCTCTACCTCTGAATCACTTTGTCACTTTCTTTTATTAAAATGGTGCTCTACCTGGGATTAAATTGAGTGAATTTACTGTTTTGCTGATGGAGCATGCTTGAGAAATCTTACCAGGCTAGAGGGAACTCTCTGTTTTGCTGCTACCCAAGACTGAATCTACCTAAATTTATTCCTAATTCAAATTTGGCATACTCAGCCATTCCAATTTCAGTGTTCTGCTCTAGTTTCGTGAACTGTTGAAGCTGGAGATACCTTTGCCAGGAAGGAAGAATCATGAAGTTAGATGGGATAAGTCTGAAGAATCCAAGACCAAGCAGGATGAAAAGAAAATAAGGAACTATGTAGTGGGAGGCTGGTAAAAGAGTATGTTCAGCTTCTATGTCCTGAGGGACTGTAATAAACAGACTCTTTGAGCTTTGTATGGGGTGGAGATTTTTAAAGCCACAGACAAAGCAGACCCAAAACATCTCTTTAAATAGTCATGAAGATTGATTATTAAAAATTAGATTAGACTTGTCTTCAGATAATCGCTTTTAGGGTTTTTTTTTTTTTTTAAACTTAAAATGATGATTCAAAGGAAAATGAGTGAGAAAGACTAGATAATGACTGAAGAGGTAAAGCAGTACATGGAAATATCACTGGTTCTTGCATAATCATTTTCTGAAAATTTGCCAGGGAAAGAGAAGCTTCTTTAACCGGTGAGGAAAAATACAAAATGCTTCATTTAGTTACTATTTGAAGTGTTAAGGAGACCAACATGATTACTGTCACTTGTCTACTTACCATGGAAGATAAACACTGACAAGGAATGAAATGAAAATGTTATGGGCATACAGCCAAACAATACTTTAAGATTGGTCTTTCTCAGCATGCTAAATTTAAACAGCCAAAATTCTTTTTAAAGTATTAACTGAATCAACAATTTGAAGTGAGGGATTTGCCTTTTAACAGCAAATCTGAATTGCATTGTAAATTTGAAACACAATGTCCTTGACTCAGTTATTTTTAATTGTCAGTGTGCCAGTCACCACAGATCAAGGAACACAAGATGTGTTACATTCAAGATCATAAATGTCTATGTTCCATTAAGGAATTTCAAGCTCCAGAGCTATTGTCAGATAGGTTTATGGTGATGGAACTCTACTGATACATTCACATTATTGGTGCTGACATTTTCTTCTTGTCTCTTGCAATTAGTGACACTGAAGGTTGGAGCCAGGGATAGAGTTAATTTCAAGGGCTGATTTTTGATGTGATATTTTGATTTTTGTTTTTATAATCTAAAAATAAGGACAGTAACATTCACTGAGTGCTTACTACATGCTAGTTACTTATATAAGTATCTTGAACATATTAATCCTGATAATACCTTTTGGGATAATCTTATTGTCATCCTCATTTTATAAAATGTAGACTGAGGAACAAGAGGGTTAAGTGATTTATCCACAGTTAGAAATTAGTAGAAGTAGAGCTGTGATTTGAACCAGAAAATATGGCTTTAGATTCCACACTGTTAGAAGGTTCCAAGTCTACTACTAACTATCACTTGCCCATAAAACCCTCTAGAGTCCATATTATCTGTTCATCTACTTTGTCTATTCTTATACTTGTTTCTTACTCCTTAAGTGTTTTACCAGATTATACATCTTTATCCTTTAAACTTCTACTCTCTGGCGTCATGACCTTCCAGGACTTTATCTGGATTCCACCACTGCCCTGGCTGTTCTCTATAGTTCCACTGAAATGTGTGCTTGCCATAATTATGGAATATTCCACAGAAGGTTGAAACAACCTGTTTTCCACATCGGGGAAGGTAACCATGACTTATTCATCTTTGGAACTTTAGTGTTAAGCAGTGTCTAATAACACAATAATGACAAGCAACATACACTTCTCCCAATAAACTGAATTAAGGCTCTAATTCACATCATTTAAGGAATGGGTAGTTTTGATTCCACTTCTTCACATCTCCCAAAAGATAAGAGGATGATTTTTTAGATCTAAGTTAGTTAGATCCAAGGTCTGAACCAAATAGTATATTTTAATTTATATATTTTTTATTTTTACTTTTTAAAAGATTATTTATGCATACAATAGCTGGGGCACAGGCCAGAGATGTGGGGGATGAGAGGATCTACCAGAGACAGAATGGGGAACAGAACAGGCATATTGACCGAAATACACTGCTGAGGGGAGCAGCGGTCGAGACCGGAGAGGTCTGCCTCACTATGTGGGTTTCTCTCTGGCCAGCCGGGGATCAAACTTGTGCTACAGAGGCTGAGGATTGCTTCATAGTGTGGTGCTTAACCCTTGCACCACCAGGGAGGCCCAAAATAGTATATTTTAATAAGTAGGACTCATAATTACTACAGAATCACTCAGTAGATATGTGACAGGGTCCCTGTGGTATGAGCCACAGGGCATAGCCGACTTTGCCCAAGGCCCCTGCCCAACATATGTTG